TGTAAATTTCCGCTTTTCTTTTTCCAATGATTTTCCTAATATGGACAACACTTATCTGTTCCAAAGACTTAGACACTATACAATATCATTTATATTGTCAATAAAGTATACTTCTTAAGGTTGATTCTTTTACACATGCATTTACAATACTTAGAATCATGGTTTAATTCAGTACAGCAGATCCTACCAACAATAAAATGTTTACCAAAAACTTTTCAAAAAAATAATCAACACAAGACTAAGTCCCACACAGTATGTTAATGACAGCTACATTTATGAAAATGTCTCACTGTATTTGAACAGAATTTTATAATTAGTAAAGAAAACATCCTCTTTGAATGTCAAGAACTCATAATTAAAAGAGACAAAAACTGATTCATGTTACAGTTATTAATTTATGAAATAATTTAATGAAACGTCAAAAGTCTGCCAGCAGAATAAAGAAGATTTCAACGTTATACTTCCTAATGATTCTTACTGGAATATATGGACTAAATCAGCTACTAATAAGCTAATCAATTAACGCAGTTTGAACTTCTTTCTTTGTAAATTATCATAAAACTGTTATTTTGTTTACTTGAGTATCTGTAACAAAACAAATATACTTAAACAGAGTGGTTAATTTCGATGTTCATTGTCACAATTTACAAATCTGATAAACTGACATAAAAAAATAAACTTATTTTCTGTAATGTAATCATGAATAATTTTTAGCAAGTAAATAGTAGAATCATGAACAGGTTTATCCTTTCATACAAGCGATAGCTAATAAATCGCTTTATGAATTATATAGATGTATTGTGCACTTCAAATACGCAAAATAACCACGTGTTTACGCGTATTAAGTTGATTGCCTCCCAAGACCGAGGGTGGGGAGAGTCTGCTCTCCTTCTCGAAACACACTCACAAGGCCACGTGCATACAACCACTACCAGGGGAGTCCTACTCACTGGCTTCTCGTGGCAGAGGTGTTGTTTATGGAATTGAGAGGACGAAAAGAGAATGTCCGACGGTTTAACCGGGTTGGTGGACATGGAGAATCCACCTAGGGGAGTTGGAAAACCCTGGTTCCAAACCAATGGTGCACATGGGCTCCAGGATCTTGAAGGGACAAAAGGCGTACGAACCTATTGTTGGCCACCGGCTACCATGGAACTGCATCTCCTGAAGTTGCTCTACTGCTTTGTGGATTAGACCTTTATGTCGATGGCTCCGGGTGTGGCCCTCCTACTTCGTTCTGGGCACACGGGCAGTACCACAGCCCACACACAAATCAAGTGACTTGTATGGCACATATGTATTCGGTGCCCTTTTGTAGCAACATTTGTATGCTCAAATAAATAAATCTAGCTGACTTTATATTTAATGAATATTTATGTTTTGGTAGTATTATAAAAGTTTTATCATAACACAACTTATATATATAAAACGATCCAGAGATTTTTCACATATTTATTCTAGTCCCAAGTTTTCTGTACATTACGTCGAGTATAACTGATTCTACCTTTTAGACACGGTCAACTGATTGACTATTTTATTTCACTTGTACTACTTTCGCAAAAATACATTTTACAAAAAATTCAGAAATATTTGCGTTATGGTTAAGAGTAGGATCCGGGACAGTTATTTTATCTAGAACCTGTCCGGTGCATATATCTGAATCATAAAAATGTTCAAACTAGCACTTGAAAGCAAACGTGTTGTCCGCTCAGCCATTCAGTTCAGATATCCAGTAGCCTATTCAATGGATATGAATTTAGTTGTAGAAATTTATATATATATATATATAACTGGTAACATGATGACCGTGTACTTTGAGTAATTGGTTTTCTCTTTCTCATGTGTTAATACAATGTTTATATAGAAACGTACATATAACAATTATCCTAGTATAAAACATACTACATTAGGTCATATTATTCTTAAGATTTATAATGATCTAAAACTTTTCATGGTTGTGATATTCAATTAAAGCAATCAATTAAGATGCCTTTCAAATTGATAATCATATAATATGAAAAGCTATCATTGAATTATTGTAAGAAACCTTTCAGTTTTTAGTATTCATCTATATAATAATATATGTATTATTTGAATACAAGGAAAATTCAGACAGATTTACAGGCGCAATTCAGGTTAATACAGTAGGAGTAAAATTTGAAAGTCCAAAAATTAAACCGATGAGATTTATTGATTATCTTAAGCTAAAACTAGTGATATTGTTAGCGTGAAACAGATCATGTATGCAAACTGTATGAACTGAAGATTCTCAACTACAGTAGGAACATACATCTTAATAATCAGTAGTCTTGTATGTTCAGAGTTGTCACTATTAGGCTAAATGATAATGCAGAGATAGACACAATTAGATAGGCAAAAACAAATTGGATACTATTTTTTAAGCAATCTTTAGATTAAACATGTCACATAGTGCTTATTACAATGATTAGATCTAGATTTTAGATTGGTTATAGTTTTTAAACGTAGGTCTCAGACTGATAAGCATATTTGGACCACATAATATAGAATGGCTTGTAACACAGATACATACCAGGATCTTAGGTTAGAACTATTGAAAAACTATACTTTGGTATTTGTGCGGATAAACACTTCCAGTGAAACATTTATGTTTAGATCAGTGTGAGAGGAAATAACCTATTACATGCAGCAATTATGTAGAAACATGAAAGTGAGATGGTTAACAAAAAATGTTTACTGCTTGAAGATAAGAAAAACTATTCAAAATGGGTCACCTATAATTCCTTGAAGTAAATTAATCTCCACAGATAAACATGATGTTTACGTGTCAGCTCATATTTCTTAAACTCTCAAATCCTATTGTAAACTCGCTCTCATAATTTTTATCACATGCAATATCACATATACAACTGAACATTAATTTCATTCCAAAATCACAACGTAAACAAATTAGTTCGAAATACATAACTCCAATATCACAATGTTAGGTTTTTACTTACATTTTATACTGACAAATTACATTTACGCAAACTAAGATTGTGTAAAGCTGAGTAAAACGATGTTAGGAAAATGAACCAGTGTATACCAATTCAGTGATTAAGACAGTATTTGAAGGAAGGTCCTGAGTCCAATATCTGATACGGGTGATTGTTGCTTACTCTTCAGTCCAATACAAAGATGAAACAACTAACCATTGCTGCTGTTTCCAATAGTCGTCTAGCTGAAATTACTTCGTAATGTCAACTATTGGATCAATTCATTTTACCATTAAGAATGTATGTGTTTTGTTATCTTTAGTAAATACTTATCATTACTACGATTGGATTTTACTAATCAAGCATTTCTCCTGTTCTAACGTCATTATCAGTTGTATCTTAATTTAACATGTGACTCACCCATTTGAAATCCTAATCAATTAATCCTGTTGTGTACTTTCCTAACATGTCTACCCTCCTTATCACTAACTGTATTTGGTATAAAACCGTCATGTGCGTAACTATACTGTACCAGAATTTTATATTTAAAATTCGAGTGCGATGAAATATGAACAAAAACTCTTACTCAAACAATTTACATGTCCTCTCGATATTGTGAGAATATTTCTGGAAAACTTGTTACTTTATTCAAATCTCAGTCTCTTCACTTTCACAGAGTAAAATACGTATGATATATTTTAAACACAAACACTTTTACTCTGAAAACGTTTGAACGTAAAAATATAAGATATGATGATCAAGTTAACAAAAATTAATACAGACAGTGAAAACCAATCCAATCAAATACGACTAATAGTCCATGATGGTAGATGACACTATATTCGATCCATTAAAAACCTATTACTTTTAACAAGTTATGAATACATAATATGGTCTCAACTAAGACCTCAGTATCGATTAAAATAATTCCCCGCTCGCTGTAATATAAATTGGTTTGAAATGTTAAATTCCTTGGTAAATCAGATATTTAAGAATCAACAATTAAGAGGTTCGATATTCGCAATCTATGTACACAATATATTCACTAATTGAAATTAATTATGTATAATTTAGATACTCTTGCACAATAATCTCAGATAATGAAATATCAATCCATATGATCTGGTGAATAGGCGACTGTATTCTATCAAACTGAAATCCGGAAATATAAAAGATAGTTTTGATGCGATTGTTGTAATTGTAAAACTTTAGTATACATGAATAAAACTACACCTTCTTACACACCATATACATTTCATCAGTTATCAATAAATTGAAGACGGATAAGTTTGATGAAAGCACCAACTTGTACAAAATATCTTTTGCACTTTTCAAGTACAAAGTATTCACGTAGGCTTGGGTCATATTCAAGCTTTATGCATTTTATGACTGTTTCTGTTCAAGAAAATAGAATAATAATACCACACAAAAATTCTAAAGGATATATTTAGAGAACTAACTGAGTTCAATAATGATTTAATAATAATTTGTTTTAGTATTGAGTTCTCTAATCTCAAGGGAAACTACATCTCCAACATTCTCATCTTGGTCTACAAATATTCCCCCATCATCTCATAACTATAAAACATGAACACTATAATACTGAATTATTCTGTCTCTATAACTACAATAAAGTTCCTGATCGTTCAATAAAACAATGGTTTAAAAAAATCGAATTACTAGATGACATAACAAAAAAGACCAGAATTCTCCTTTTTTTATCTTATTTCAATACTAATAAATATTATACTTTATTATTATTCAAAGATATTACAAGGTTATATAATGTGAGTTAGTATTTTAAGAAATTCCGTATGTACAAAGATTCCAGAAAACATAGTAAAATAATAATAATGACGAAAACAAAAGCAAGTGGACCTATTTGGTGAAGTTGTATTCTGCACAAAGTATGACAGATTATCTGTAAAGGAATCTTAACCAAAAAAGCAGTTAAATGGAATTTTATAACTGGTGGTAAAATAAATAATCAAAAAAATCAACCAAATGAGTTTTTTTTTTAAAAAAAAGAGAAAGAAAATGTAGAAATTAATTTCTCCAAAGAGTCCGACGAGTTGTAGAATCCGCGCGACAATTTGTCAGTGTGGATTCTTCACGTTTAGCGGAGGATTCACGCGATTTTGAAAGTTTTCGGATATTTGAAGCTCTTGATACAGAGTCTTCACGTTTTGATGAAAGATTACGGGGCTGTGATGGTGTTCGAAAATTTGTTGTATTATTTACTGGAACATTTGTCCGCTTTGCCGAAGAGGCACGAGAATGTGTAACAGCAGTAGCAATATCTGAAATTTTCTTCCCAGAATCTGAATTTTTCTGAGACGTATCACGAGACCGTGAAGCCGTCCTAAGATTTGGAGCCTTTGGTATGGTAAGACGAGCAGTTGTTTTTGGTCTTTCTTGTATTTGTTTAATAGAGTTTAATGAAGAAGATGCTTGAGAAATGCTTCCTCCACTGGAAATCTCGCTAACTATTCCAGTGTCAATCATACTGGAATCACTTCTCGGGCTTTCCATACTACTGTTACTACCACAAGACCATTGCCTGCTGAAATTACTCATGGAATTGATCTGTGAAATAGGTGGAGATTCAAATTCGGAATGTCGACGAATTGGTTTAGGGACATTAAAACATGACTTGATGGGAGGGATATCATTAGTTACAACTGCTGGTTCCATATTGAATGAGTGAACTCCTCGTCTACACGGATCATGACGATGCAAGAACTCATCTAATGTTAGCCAACCCCCACCAACTCGCACCATGACGTGATTACGAAATCTGCGTAAGTAATAAATACGTGAACCTAGCTTATATCGACCTTCTTCTAAACGCTGCATATGCAATTTATTACAACATGTACATTGGGCCAACTTCCTATTCACCTACAAAACAAGAAAGGAACAATCGAAATTACATTACATTTACTAATAATGCAAAATTATCATAGAGCACAATGCACAATTAACAATAGTTATGAAAAGATATGGATACCCATGTGTAAACATGCAGTAAATAGCTAAACGTTCTTAAATACTTGATAACGAGAAAAAAACATATTCACATCAAGAAACACATCATTCTATACATCCCATCAATGACTTGTAACATTAAACAAACAGTCAGATTTTAAGACCATAGGAGCACATTTACATTATTTTGAATAAGCACTAAAAAACACTAAGCCAGATATACATACACGCAAGTAAATATATATAAAACAAATTATCAAACAAAACAGAACATATCAAACAAGAAATAAAGCCAATTTTCAACGATGAAACATAGAAGCAAATATATATACAAAGAACAATGTAAAATGCAACAAATAGCAGCATATTGAATCATTCAAGGTATACTAGCAAACAGATCAAAACACTTTTTTTTACCTGATTATCAATCAGACAATCATCAGATGATATTGTGGAAGGATCAATCGATATTGGATCTTGATAATTCTCATTATAAATTAAACAATCCATAAGTGGTACACTAAGTATCGATGGAGTATTAATCTTAATATTTTGTAAATTTTTCAAGTCCGATTTTCTATTCATTATTTTCAATTTAGGTGATTCAACTTGTAAAATACTTAAAGAATTAGTAACAGGACTGTTTAGTAGATCAAATGAACTCAGAGATGATACACAATTATTAGTTGAATCGATATTAGTTGACGATAAGTGGTCATTACACCAATTATTTGGATTTATAGCAGATGATAAAATATTTACTGTTTTTGTAATTTTGACTGGTGTTACCTCCATTATCGGTAAATGGAGATCTAGATTATTCAATGTTTGTTGTCTTTTTCTTTTGGTAACATAAGGTGAACATTTACCAATCACCTTTGAATGGTAGTGAACAGATAGCACCAACATATTGATTATATAAAATTGCATAATAGGAAAAAATAAAGAAAAATCAAAATATAAATCTCAAAATAAACAATATATATATAGTATAATACCAGAAGCTATCAAAGTGTTAAGACTGTTATTATAAACATTAAGGTTAAATGTACAAGGGTATTAATGTTCCATAAATTAGAACAACAGTGGAAACTGCGAATAAACTAAATAACATGTTAAATATTCGATTTAAGATAAATATTAAATGATTTACACACAATAAAATTATCCAAATTCAAAACAACCTGTCAATATAATATTTTCATGTATTTGATTGAGCAAATTATTAAAAGACAAAAAAAATTAGAAAACATTTATGATTTTTGTGATATGGTGAACCAATCAGAAGAGACCTAAAGAATAGGAGCATCTTATTAGCTCAGAAATGAATTAATTTCCTAAGGTTTAGAGTGGTATATATATGAGGAATTGTGCATTTCAATCGGTAACCCGATGTACTTTCACGCTCACTCTTATATTTTCGCTCAATTAGTCAGTTGGGGAGTCAGAGCGTAGCATACCATGTATCAATGTCAGATTTCGGACACGGCTTGTCACAACGGTTTGTATGAAATTTGTTTTATATTCAAGAAAACTATTTATGAAATACAAGGAATTAATGAAAATAAAGACCTGGCTTTCACAAAAGTATTGTAAATGTACATTACAAAAGAGGATGAAAATTTCCACAACCCCATGGCGATAATTATCATGTCCTCACTGGTGACTAGCTTCGAGAGGGGATTGTCGGACTTCTAGTGAGAAGCCGTGACCAGTGGAGTCTAATCTGTGTCAGGTGTGAGATTTATCCATTTCAGACAGTGGAAGATGGTCGCTCAATATCGTGGATTAATTGAAGTTAGACATGAACACCGCCGGATCACGGCCCAGTGGTCTCGAGGTTCAGCGTTCGCGTGAGACCGTGGGTCCTAGGTTCGAGTCCCACTTGAGGGATTCCATATTAGAACGAAACCATCGTCCAGTCCTCCCAATGTTTCAATAGTGGTCTAACGTTCATCAATTCATGATCTCAACTAAAAAAGATCTGAAAAAATGTGGACGACATTTGGACGAATATAAGAAAATAATAAATTTTATTCAATAGTGCTCAGTACAAATTAAGTATTGTTATAACTATTTGGCAGTTGACTATGTGATCATTGAAGTTGAACAACACTACAATGTTTACATATAACTGAACTCTGATACTTCAGAATTATTGGTCAAATATATAAAATGCTATGGATTTTACATTATCCTAGTGATTTAGGTTGAAACCAGCAAACTAACGTTGAATGCATACATATTTGAGACACAGTTTATCCTATGTATATGATGTAAAATTTACGACTGAATTGCCACAGAACTAGTACAGCACGCTAGTATAACGCTCTACGTCTTCTACCTAAGTGATGGGTAATTCGGAAATATTATTCATCAAAGTCACTAGAAACCCAGAAAAATTCAGATGTTTTATCCAATGGGTAATGAATGGAACTTCTCAAGAACATTTGAAAATTAAGAATCACGCATCACGTCTTTGAGTGGATAATTATTTATAATGTTACAATATCGATGGATCTTGAAGAACACGACAACACCGAGAGTATCCGGTGAAGCTACAAATATTCTCCAACGACTTTAACACTTTTTTCTCATTAGAATAGCCAGATATCCAAAAGATATTTTTATTAAACCTACTAGCTTAACCGGTGGTCGAAGCGTTCGGTTTTCAATTAACAATTCAATGGTTGAGACACATATAACGCTTAATACGGTTTGTGCAACTGGTTAGTATCATTAGACTTAATACAAACAATAAGATTTTAAGTCGAATATTCAAAATAATCATTTTAAAAAGGTTAGAAACAATTACTTAACTAATTTATTTGTAACAAACTTCAAAATTTACGGTAAAAAAAACCAACTCATTTTACATAGAACAGAATCTGTAGTTCAAAACAAAAATGCTCATAACTGATCGAATTAACAGGGTTAAAATCATTCAAATCATATATATATATATATATATATATATCACTAACGTTTAAAATAACACTATTTACTAAGCATGCCTACACTGGCAAGCGTACAATATTGATTCCTTATGAATATTATAACTGATTTAACGACAATTAGCATAAAAAACTACAACTATGTATATCTATGACGAGATATAAGAGAAGAAACGTAGGAAGAATAATAAGGGTCAAAATCAGGTCACAATGTTAAAAAACAGTTGAGTTGAAAAGTAGTTGTAGTTAGATTTTACCATTAAAATTTAACGAATTTTTATGATAAGATACATAAAAAATACTCAAGTGAAAAAAACAGCTGTATGCCCTCATATTATTATTATTATATGACACACAGATATATATTTACATGTAAATAACCATAGAAAAACGCCCAAAGTAATAATAACAATAATGATTTGTAGATAACATACAGTCGTGACAATTACCATGGTTATACGATTACCTATCTTTATATTAAAGAGTAAATTTTATGATTTTTAGAAATTGTATTAACTCTGTGTAATTTAATTTTGATGTTAGGGCGATTGAAAAATGTTTAAAACAGAACAATAATTACTAAACAATATTTCAAATGATGTAATCAGTTACACACACAGTTTTGCTATAGATGAGTTAAAACTAAGAAACACGATGTTATATGAAAGATATCGATTTCAAAATTTGTTAGTGAAATATCTTGTTATTAGTACAAGATTATTGTGGATTTGATTCTTCGTGAAATTATAAGTGACCACAGATCAGTCTTATACTAATTTCCTAATTATTCTTATTCAAGCAAAGAGTAAAATGGTTCAAACATTGACTTACACCGGTAGCCGATTGTAATGATCATTTCGCACAACAGAAGTCAAATAGGAACTTAGAAAAAAGACTTTTTATATCTGATGAGAAGAATTATTGATTTTGATATTCTTAAAATTTGATTTATTTTACCGAAAACTTCGCCATTCTTGTGTAATGAACCAACACTTAAATGGGAAAGACCGATTTATTGTTTAAGCTAAAATTACAGAGCGCTTTGATAAAATACAAAATCCATATGTTTAATACTTCATTTGTACATCTTCCATCAATTGTCGCTTACAAACTTCATCGTCCCTTCATTCCTGTTTTTATTACAACTACTCTTTGTTGACATTCCCGTTTTACCTAGTTCTATTCATTTCCATCTTCTCAGCATTCTTCTGCTAGGCATTCCACTTCTGAATGGTGTGACATGCTATTTATGTTGACAGACATAAGTAACATACAAAATACATGTCCTCAACATGCTACACGAACATTTTGTAACCAATTTTATAGGTTGTGTTAGACTAGTCGAGCTTTTCAGAAATTGATTCAGTTAACAAACCAATAATATCTCATCAGCTCATATTCTACGAATTTGAAAACCGTGATGATGATAAATAGGCCTAACTGACAATGACAGCATGCTTTTTGCAAAGAGTAAAATAACACATTCAATGATTTTCACATGATGGTGAGTTTGACAAATATCAGACATGGTCGTTTGTGAGTTTTATGCCACTGGAAATGTTGTCGTTGAAACTGTCTCAATTAATGTTCGATAGATTTTCATTTCCACATTACTAATCTTTCAATGATTGAGAAAATCCGTGATCCCACTGATATCTTCCTCGCCTGTTAACAAGAAGAAAAGCCCCAAATGCCCTGGTACGGCCGAGAGTGGGGAAAGTCCGCTCACCCTCTCGAAATGCTCACACATGGCCAAACGTATACAGCCACTACCAGAGAATTCCTGCTCGCTGCCTTCTCGTGACAGGGGTATTGTTTACGAAATTGAAATGGCGAAAAGCGAATGTCCAACGGTTTAACCGGGTCGGTGGACATGGAGGGTTCGCCCAGGGGAGTTAGAAAACCCTGATTCCAAACTAATGGTTCACATTGGTTCAGTATCCTGAGGGAAAAAATGGC